GGCCTGGTAGGGTGTGTGCGTGTGTGTGTGTGTGTGTGTGAGAGAGCGAGAGTGTGTGTGTGTGTGTGAGAGAGAGTGAGTATGAGAGAGAGAGAGAGAGAGAGAGAGAGAGTGTGTGTGTGTGTGTTGAGGGGACCGAAAGGGGTCCGAGGCGATGGTGAGCGTCGCTGGTGAGGGGCCAAGGGGCCTGGCTGAGCATGCGCGCATGCATACGCATTGAGTCCGCCAGGGTCAGCATGCACAAGTCAGCAGCAGTCTCAGGCAGCGCCCTCGGATCAGCATCAGCTCATACAAGTATTCAGCCCCTGACAGCAGGCTCCTGGCCACTGCTGTAAGCCAATGGGCAGGTTTGTGGCTGTGCGGCCCGCACCTTGTCCTGCCCCTCAAAGGCGGCAAACACCTCCTCCCTCGCCAGCGTCACTGCCAGCGGCGCAACGCCTGTCGAAGGGTGACGATGTCGGGGCGCCGGACGGCGAAGTGTTTGCTGTGGTCGGCGGCATGCGACGCCGCAGTTACAGGCCCGCTCTGCGCGCATGCAGTCAGCCATCCCCTCGGCCCGTCCCCCCCTCCGCCCCAGTTCAGGGGTTCGGGTAAACCCAGGGCTGCCCAAGTCCCGATCTAGCTCATTGTTTTCCTCCTTGCTCTGACCATTCATAAAAGACAGATGTGTAGACATGCGCATAGAAGTTTCCATCGTGTGATGCGTACACGCACGCACGCACAATGCACGCCTCCCCCCCTCACCTGCAGTGAGCAGCTTAGCGTAGCAGGCAATGTCGGGGTCCTCCCCTAGGATGGCGGCCCCCGAGGCCACGCCCAGCCGCCAGCAGCCGGTGAACACCTCATCGAATATGATGGGGATGCCCCTGCGGCGGCAGGACTGCGGGGGGGGGGGGCGAAACGGCAGCAAGAAGGCGGCGGGAAGGTGAGAAAGCCGGGTTCGAACCCAGACGGTAGAAGAAGTCTCAACTCATGCGCTGCGTATTGACGCTTCCCAGATTTTGGCATCCGGGGCGGATGGGGAGGTCCCCTCCAGTCCGCTCTCCTGGATTTCGGTGCTGAGAAGGTGGACTGTCGATAAAACGGCCAGGCTCCGGCGTCTCTTTCACTGGACGCGTGCTGGGATGCAGCGCCGGCCGATGCTCAGTGGCCTCCTGCTGCCGCTGGGCCCCGCTCCCTTCCCGCCGCCCGTCTGCCCAACCCGCCTGTGACCCCTATCACGCACAGCTGTTCGCCTCGCCTCTGCTGCGCCTGCACTCCATCCCCTCAGGTGCCTCCGTCTGCCCTCATCCCTCCACCCCCCCTCTGTCCTGCCTCTCAAAACACGCATCTCACCCATCTAGCCCACCACCCCGGCCACCCACCCTGACGAGTTCGCGCTGAAAGGCCGGGTCAGCACACAGCATGCCGCCCGCCCCCTGCAGCACAGGCTCCAGCAGCAGCGCCCCCAGCCGCGCCCCCGAGGACGCCTCGTGCGCGTCGATGGCTGCGTCGATGGCGGCGGCGTAGGCGGCGCCGAGGGGGGTGCCCCTGGTTTTCAGAGGCGGGCGCGTGGATGATGGCAGGGCGGGCTGGGTGCTTTGAGGAGGGTGCGCGTGACAACCTCAAATTACGAGAAGTCTTCATTGTTTGCCGCGTCCCTCAGAATCCATGAGCACACCATCTCGGGCTCCCCAAAAGTGCCTCCCACGCCTGCCAACTGCGCTGCGTGCCGGCCTGCTTCTCGCGGCAGGGCCTCGGAGGCGCCCCGGCCCCCGCCTGCAGCGCCTGACTCCCATCGGCCAGTGCCAGTGCCGCCGCCCGCCCCTGCACCCCAGCAACAAGCCCACCTGTCGCGGTCTGGGCAGAAGGCCTCCTCCCTGCTGCCCCAGCTCAGCCCACCCTCTTCGCCGCGATTGCTACTGCTGCTGCTGCTGCTGCTGCTGCTGCTGCTGCTGCTGCTACTGTCGCCGCCCGTGCCCCGCAGCCATTCTGGCAGCGCGAGGCGCCAGCGGCCGCGCTTGATGGAGAGGTAGGGCGGCTCCAGGAACAGGCCCCGGCCGGCATACCTTGTTGAGTTTCGGGGTTTTCGGTTTGAGGGGGAGGGGGGGATGAGAGACTGGGGTTGCAGGGCTCAGAGGGGCCAGGGGTTTCCGGCGTGTGAGCTGTGTAGTGTGTGCTGCGACATGTGCTCTGCTGTGTGCTGCGTGGCGTGCTGGGGCGGATGTATCGAAGGCGTGCGTGTGCCGGCACGTGTTTGCGCAAATGCAGGGAAGTGCACACGTGTGCATGCGTACGAAGAAGGCAACGTCATCGACAACATCAGCCGACCGCTTCATCCAAGATCGAAACCGGCGTCATATTTGTGCCCTGTTGCAATGAGACGCACCATGGCGACTGCAGGCGTCCGTTGAACCCGCTTGGCGCGGCGCAGTCCATCGCGCCCAGGGTGTCCCCGTGGTAGTTGTTGTGCAGCGCCAGCACCTGGGCCGGTTGGGGGCGATTGTCGACGGTTGAGGGCAGTTGGAGGCGGCTTGGATGGGTAGGGCAGTTGAGGTTCAGGGGGGATGGGGCCGGTTGGGGCCTGGTGGGCGTATCCGGACGCACGACGGCGGGGGGCGGGAGCATGCAGGGCAGGGCGGCAGGCATTTCAATGACGTGAACGCCGCTGCCAGCACATAGGGGTGTGTGATGTGATGCAAATACGTTGCATGCAGCGCCCAGACAAGCGGCCCTAACCCGTTCTGATGAAGCCATGCACGGGGCACCCGCAAGCACAGCCCACCGGTCCCCTCTCTCCCACATCGTTGTCGCGTATCGCGCAGGCGCCGTCCCCTACCC